CCGGAAGTGGCACTGTGGCTCAAGTGTTGAGCTCTCGCCTTGAGCTGAAGAGCTGAGGAACAGTGCCCAGGCCCAGAGTTCAGGCCCCATGACCGGACCCAAAAAAAAAATTTTAAAAAAAAAATTTTTTTTGCCAATCCCAGGGCTTGAAGTGAGGGTCTGGGCGCTGTCTCTGAGCCTCTTTTGTGCTCAAGGCTAGCACTCTACTTGAGCCACAGGGCTACTTCCAGCTTTTTCTGAGTTGTTTACTGGAGATGAGTCTCACAGATTTTCTGCCAGGGCTGGTTTCAAACCACGATCCTCAGATCTTAGTCTCCTTAGTAAGTAGGTTACATCTGAGGGGACCGTGTGTGTCTGGCAGGGTTCTTCCCGGCAGAGGCTGCCAAGCGGCCCCAACGACTTCAACTCTGTGGCTGGGTGCTTCTTCTTTCCCCTCATTCAGCGCTTTGACCGGTGAGCGGGTTTTCTGGGGCCCTGAATGCAGTGTGCACACGGTGCTGCAGGGTAGAATCTGAGACGGGGTTTTGCACAGAAATGTGTTGTGAGCATGTCTGGAAGGGCCCTCTGCTGGGGAGCGTGTGGTGAGGGTATTGGCCATCGCTCTCTTCCTGTCTTGGGCTCAGGGTTCTGTGAACACGGAGCCTGCCTGGCACTGCCCACTTCCTGCCACTCCTTCCATCTCCAAGTTGGGCTCCACCCCTTACTCAGGCTGAGAGCTGGGGTGACAGTAGGGCCTGACTCAGGGCCCGGCTTGTACTGTGTGGGTCAGGGTAGGCACTACAAGAGGGGGTGTCTCCTGCAGCAGCCCAGGAATTCAGGCAGCCAGCCCTGAAGTTCTGATGCTGCCTTTCCTCTCTTCTCTATTGTAGACCCCTGGTGACCTTTGACCTTTTGGGAGATGACCAGTTGGTTCTCGGAAGACTAATCCATACCTTAGGGGCCTTGATGTACCTGGCTGTGAACACCATGGTGAGCAGAGGCATGGGAACCAGAGGCGTCCAAGGAGTGTGGGAGCAACCACCCGAGCCCCTGCTGCATGTCCGTCTCCCTGTCTCCATCCCTGGGCTGGACGGTGGTCAGGTCGCGGGTGGGAAGTGCTGTGTGCCTGAGTCCATGCCCACCTGCCCCTGCTCTGGTGTCAGGTGGCTGCATCCATGGGGAAAGCCCTGCTGGAGTTTGTGTGGGCCCTTCGCTTCCACGTGGACACGTGAGTGCCTGTGGGGATGGGGATGCGGGTGGCCTGGCACCTCCCAAACACGAAATGGGCTGAGCAGGGGCTAAGGGGGCTGGGCTGAGTGTGGGTACTTGGGGTATCCGCTGGACTCGGGAGCAGCGTGCAGTCTGTCCCGATTCCTCTTACCACACTACGCCTCCCCTTCTCTACCCCGTGCCGGTAGCTACGTGCGCCAGGGCTTGCTGTCGGCTGTGGCCTCCGTTCTCCTCAGTGTGCCGGCGGAGCGGCTGCTGGGAGACCTGCCGGATGAGCTTCTGGAAGCCCGGTCCTGGCTGGCTGGTGCGTGTGCCGCGTGGTCACCAGGGGTCACTCGGGTGACTGCAGCAGCTGGGGGAACCGTAGAGGGTCTGGAAACGGACTCTGCACATGGCTCTATCGCCTGGCCTGGTCTGCAGCTCTCGTGGAGGAGGGGGATGGGCGGTGATGGACAGTGGAGGAGGGTGGTGGACGGTGGCAGAGGGAGGAGGAGGGGTGGATGGGAACGGGAGGTGGGTGGTGGCGCAGGGCATCTTAAAGCAAAGGAACAGGGCAGTCCCTCAGTGCCACCTGTCTTGCCCTTCCCTCCTCCCTCGGCAGATGTGGCTGAGAAGGACGTGGATGAGGACTGCAGGAAGATGGCGGTGAGGGCTCTGCTGCTTTTGGAAAGACTCAAAGACTCGCTCCTCCCTGCTTCCTCCCCCTAGTCCTGCAGTGTCCTGTCCACTGGGAGAGGGGATGGATGGCCTCCGAGGAGGGCCTGCGGCAGTGGCTTGGAAGCGTGCCTGGCCTGGAGGGCCGTGCTGGGCAGTGTGCAGTGTGCAGCCCCTTCCCGGCCCTGCTGTCAGTCGAGGAGGCTTGTGTTCAGCTAACGGGAGGGCTCTGTGCGGTCCCTGCCTCACTGATGGGCTGTGTGTGGGGGGCTCTGGGCCAGGGCAGCCCTTCCTCCAAGGGGCAGGGTGGATGGGGTCTAGCTGGGTCCCCCGGAGGGCTCCACCATACTCCTTCAGGGTGTCGGGCAGCAAAGCAGTCGGGTTGGCCCTCTGCTCCCGTAGTGCGGGGCTTCTCAGCACTGGGTCCCGGAAAATAAACAGGGTAGCGGGCGATACACCATCTTCCTCTGTTTCTCACATGCCTCATGAGGGCAGCCACGATGGAGACAGGAGGGGCCCGGGCCTCTGGGAAAATACTTTATTGGAGTCATAGCCACTGAGCGGGCCTGGAGGCAGAAGAGCATAGGCCTGGGGCCCTGCCAGGGACTGTCTGCCAACTTAGGCAGTTAGCAGAAAGGGGCATCTACTAGCCTCAAGTAGCCACAAGGACACAAAGCTCTAGAAGCTAGACTCCACCATCTGTGGTTGGGGGAACATAGGAACGAGGAGTCCAAGTCTCCTGAAAGGAGCCAAATGGCATCCATAGGAGCCCCCAGGAGCGGGGCATGCAGAGGCGGCTTGCCCTCCACCCTCGAGGCCTGGACTCGGGGCAGGCCCACAGCACACTGCCTCCCAGGCGTGGCCCTGCCCCTGCCACTACCCCATTTATGTGCGGCTCGCGCTGGGGAGCCGGGCCTCAGGGCTCACTCTCCACCTCCTCCACCACTTCCTCGTCCACCTCCTTGTGGTCCTCCATGCTGTTGTGGCGGATCCGCTCAGGCACGATGCGGGACAGCGGGAGGCCCAGGGCCTGGTGCACGGCGTCCACTGTGCGCTGGTCCACATAGTAGGACATATTGGCGGAAGGAAGTCTCTTCCGCATCTCCTCAAGGTACTTGTAGGCCTAGGGCAGAGATCATGAGTCACGTGAGAGCCTAATGGTCATGAGGGCCGGGATGGTGGGGGCCCTATCCCCTCACAGTAAGGAGGTGTCCTAAACCCCCGTCGCCCGGCGCTCTGCCCTGGGGTAGGGACAGCCTCCCAGCTTCCCGCTGCGCCGAGGCTGCTCAGCACTGACAGGGGCCACTGGGTTCCTCGTGGCACATGTCTTGAGCTCTGGGCTGCTAACACTAAGCTGTGATGGGTATAAACAGATGAGCCCCAGACCCGAGGCCCGCGGCAGCCTGGCACAAGCCTGCCAAGGGGAAGGCAGACTATTCATCCACACTGAGACACCTGCTTGTTGGAGAGGAGGGCTTCGCTGGCCTGGAACTAAAGTCTCCTGCGTGGTGGGCCTGGAGTGTACACTAGAACGCGACCTGCACAGATCACCAGAGATCAGTATAAAATGTGAGTGGCTTTGTGCCATTAAGCCATCAGCCCATATCCCTAGCTGTCTGTCAATGGAGAGCTGGCATGAACCTCCAGGAATGAAGATGCTTCCCGGGCACTTAACGGTTGCCTGTGTGTGTCAGCACACTGCTGGGCAGAGAACAAGCTTGGGCCAGGGAATGCCAAGGTGCAGAGGCTGGCGCCCGTGTGCCCTGAACACAACCAGGCCTGACAGGTGCGCCACCTCAGCTGGGAAGATGTCACGTCAGAGATAAAAGGCCCAAGTGTGGGATGAGGAGTTGGCTGACAGCAGCAGCAGAGTAGACACTGGAAGGAAAGCTGGTGAACTTGGAAGGGGAGGAGCAGCAACTGCCCCAAGTGAGAACGAGAGCGGGGAGGAAGGGAGACAGAGGTGCGGCTGCGAGGGGAGGTGGAGGGGGAACAGAGCACAGCACACTTCCTCACTGTGTGAAGGAAACAGTTACAGGTCCTACCAGACAGAGATGGATCCACACCAAGTGATGGGAAGTCTGCGTGGAAGTGGGGCCGCGGCGGACAGCATGACCACACAAGCTGGTGCAAGGGGGAGCGGCGCTGTGGGCAGCTGCCGTGGTCTCGGGTGACTGCGGGAGCCTGTCACCTCCAGGACAAGCAGAACGGACAGGCTGCCAACAGTGACTGCGCTACGGGGCACCAAGCTGCGGGGAGCCGGCCAAAGCAGCATGCTCTGGGGAAGCAGGGGCCTCACCATCTGGTGCTCCTGCCTGTGCACGTGGTGCTCCACCAGGAAGCCGTAGACATCGCCGATGCGGATAGTGCTGTCCAGGTCTGGCTCCTCCAGGAGCAGCTCACACTGCCTCACCGACTCCTTGGGGTCCTCTGTGTAGTTCCTGCCATCAGACCAGAGAGGCCTGAGCTGGGGCACACAGCCAGAGGCCGGCCGGCTCCTGTCCTGCAGAAGCAGCCCCGGGCAGTGGCCAGTGACAGGTTCTGGAGTTGTTACTCCACTAATTCCTTATTTATTAGTTCATTCACTCATTCAACAAATACTGGTGGGGCTGGGAAGGTGGCTCAGTGGTAGAGGGCTTGCCCCGCATGCATGAGGCCCTGGGTTCAATTCCTCAGCACCACATAAGCAGAAAAAAGCCGCAAGTGGCGCTGTGGCTCAAGTGGTAGAGTGCTAGCCTTGAGCTGAAGAGCTGAGGGACAGCGCCCAGGCCCAGAGTTCAGCCTCCACGAACGACAACAACCCCCACCCCAAAAGAAAAAACACCCCAAAACCAAAAAACAAATACTGGTGATGGCAGAGCCAAATCCTTGTCCCAAGCCAAAGTCTCCTAACCTAGTCCCTGGGAACATTCCAGAAGAAGCCGACAGAGGGCTGTGTGCCATCTCCAAGGCCGTTTGGAGGAGCAGAGCACAGGTCAGCCCATGTGCCAGGTGCAGGGGTTTCAGGGCGGGGCGTAACTGCGCGGCCACTACGGCAGGCCCTGGCTCTGTAGTCTTGGCAGACAGTGACCCGTCCAGAGTGGACCATGAGCTGCGATGGGGTCAGGGCCCATCAGCCATGCCAACCTGGCCACTACAGCCCGGAGCCCTGCCTGCCCTAGCGCTGAGCGCTGCAGGGATGTCTCCCCGGCCCCACATTCTTCCCCTTGTCCAGGGCCCTGTTCTTGGTTAATGAGTCCAGGCCGGGTAGAAGACAGTCTTCCTGAAGCCCACTGTGTCCGCGCAGGAGCCCACTGCTGTGTCTGCTGCTGCCACAGCTACAGGATTTTTTTTGGGGGGTCCGGTCGTGGGACCTGAACTCTGGGCCTGGGCGCTGTCCCTCAGCTCTTCAGCTCAAGGCTAGCGCTCTACCACTTGAGCCACAGCGCCACTTCTGGCTTTTTTCTTTTTGCTTATGTGGTGCTGAGGAATGGAACCCAGGGCCTCAGGCATGCAAGGCAAGCGCTCTACCCACTGAGCCACCTTCCCAGCCCCCAGCTACAGGATTTGAAACGTTTCAAATGTTTTGGGAACTCTTGTTGGGAACTCTATTTTCAGATAAGTAAAAAACAACTGATCATTTTGGCAGAAGCTGTTTTGCTCCTTATAGCGCCGACACAGGAGCTGCTTTGAAAAACTGAATTATCCAGCAATAGATTAAAAAGTCCTGAAAAACAGAGGCAAGCCAGGTGGAGCTGAGTTGTGCGTGAGATCGGCTAACACCGCTGCCCGCACCACACCTGCCTCTCATTCGATGCCCCGCTTAACCCCAACACCCCGCCAGGTCCCCTTCAGACACTGCGCCCCCGCATCCCCTTCCCCTCCACACCAGCCTCCCTCCCTCCCGCTGGCTCTGATGCTCAAACAATCAGGCTGGCGCCTTGGTTTTGAAGCAGTTGTTGGGTGCGGCTCAGCTGTATCCCCTGAATGCCTATCTAGTCCAAGGAGCTGGGAGCAGATACTTGGTCTGGTCCTGCGGACAACCTGAACTCCCCTAGAGTTGTGGACAATGAATGAGGTGCACACGGAGCCTAGGGGGTACAAGCCAGGCTCCAGGCCGCCCTGCGCCGGGCCGCTGGGGCACCCACCTGCGGGCCTGGATGAACCTCTTCACCAGTGTCATCTTGCTCTGCAGCTGGGCCAGCTTGGTCTCCTGGTCCAGCGGGCTCTTGGCTTTGGCCTTGGACAGGCACTTGTAGGCCTCGGTCAGTGCGCCATGGGCCTTGTCATAGTTCTGATATTCGTCGATCTCCACCTGTGCCCAGAGGAGCCCCCATCAGGACTGGGGCTCCACCATCCTCCCCAACCCCTCTCTCCCTCCCCCCCCCCCCCGCTGGAACCCCAAAGAGCATCTGTACCTGGGCACAGGCATCATAGAAGCCGGCCAGGAGGTCCAGGGCTCGGCCTTTGGTGTAGAAGCTGATGATGTTCTTCATGATCTCTGGCTCCTTCCGCCAGTCCAAGGACTGCAGGTAATTGGCAGCCATGATGTAGATTTCCTTCTGCCTGGAGACACCCGCAAAGAACACGATCTTCTCTGTGTCCCCAGACTTGAGCAGCGCTCTCATGGCCTAGGAAGACAATGGGCGAGGGCTTGGGCGGGCAGCCAGGGGCAAGCTGCCTGGCCCGGCTCCAGAAGGGCTGGAAGCAGAGCACTGCATGACACATCCACACGGATGCCTGGCTCCACGGGGCAGCGGGCGGCCCACCTTCAGCTTGTTCCCGGCCTGTGTGTACTTCTTGGTGGCCAGGTGGTAGTGGCCCTGGCGCATGCAGCAGTTGGCAATCTGTTCCAGCAGCTCTCGCCGCGACTCCTCGGTCAGCTCCTTTGAGTCTTTGGACACGGTCATCTTCTCAGCCATCTCCTCAGTGATGGTCATATTCTGGTCCACACACAGCTGCAGCGCCTCCTGATACTGAGAGGGGCAGGGAAACAGAGATGCTGAGGGCCGAGGGCTGGTGTGCCTGCACATCCCCCCCCCTCCAAGGCCATGGCGGCCGCTGTCTGTGGCTGGGCCGCAGGTGGAAGGGATGGGAT